AGGGAACTGGGAAGCGTAGACGACAAAAGTGGGGAGGCTGTTGGGACATGGGGTGAGTCACTGCATGGTCATCTGAGAGCAGCTTGCTTCAACAGGGCTGCCCTGAGCAGGCCAGTAAGGAGGTCTCTCTGCAAATATGCAAAAAATATTTGACTCCTGTTGCCCCCCTCCACCCCAATTCATTTCCACCCGGAACCTCAGAATGTAACCTTATTGGGAAATACAGTCTTTGCAGATGTAATGAGTTAGGTTCAGATGAGGTCATACTGAATTAGGGTGGGCCCTTGAACGAACATGACTGGTGTCCTCATAAGAAGAGGAGTGATGCAGAGACAGAGACAGAGACAGAGACAGAAGAGATGAAGGCTGGGTGATGACAGAGGTGGAGGTCAGAGGGCTGCAGCTCCAAATCAGGGGACACCAAGGATTGCCCGCCAGCACCAGGAGCTGGAAGAGGCAGGGAAGGGTTCTACCCTGGAGACTTCAGAGGGAGCACAGCCCTGCTGACACCTTGATTTTGGACTTCTGGCCTCCAGACTGTGAGACAATACATCTCTGTTGTTTTAAGCCATCCAGTTTGTGGTCATTTGTTACAGCAGCCCTGACAAACTGTTACAAACCAGGAGCAGAGAGAAATCGATTTTTTTATGGGCTAAACACTGTATATCTCTTCATTTCTGCTCAAAGTAAAAGAATCACTAGGAACCCTGAGCGTAGGCTAACATCCAACCTCATTTGGAATTGTTTTTCTTTTGGAGATCTTCCCCATTGCTTACAAGTGGCTATTATAGGTCAGGATGCTCTCAGAGGATCAGGAGAGTTTCCTTAGGTCCACACATACAGATTCTCTGACTTGGGCTCCTGAAGCAAGTAGAAAGGTCTCTTTCCCTCCCAACGAAGTCCAAGCAAGGCTGCAAAAAGTAGGGAGAGGTCAGAGGGAAACACTTACATTCCCTCACTTATTCAACCAATATTTACTGGATTTCTGTATGAGTCAGACACTATGCTAGACACCAGGAGAGATGGGATGCGGTGGTGATGATGATGATGGTGGCTAACATTTTATCAAGCGCTTTCTATGTGCCAGGCACTGTTCTAAGTGCCTTCCATGGATTAACTTATATATTTCTTACAACGATGTTAGATGTTAACTCTATTATGATATGTATCCTCTATATGAGGAAGCTGAGGCAGGAAATTCTAGAGCTTGCCCAGGGGTAGAGAGCTGGTGAGTGGCAGAGAAGAGACACAAACGACCTGCAAAGAGATGGAAGAGAGCCTTCCGAGGAGGAGGGGGAAGTGAGAAAGTGGGGGGTTGGTGAGGAGGCAGTAAAGGCTTTGTTTTTCCTAACAAGCTTTGTAGAATTATTAAGCTAAGAGTAACCCATGAGGAACTGCATAAATTAAACACTAAAAAGTAAAAGGAAGGGAAGATGAGGAAGTGGAGACTATGTGGATGGGCATCTATTTAGAGAAGTTTGAGGAGGAAGGGGGAGCAGATACAGCTGCAGTAACAGGAGAGGGACTTGGAGTAAGAGAGGGCTGTCAGCTTGGGCCATTGATGGCTGTGAACATGTAACTGGCGATTAGAAATGACCCACAAGAGAGGGAGATATGGCTTCTGGAGGAGCTAAGAGATGGAGGGGGAGCTCAGGTCTAGAGCTGGGAGATGCTGGCTTTTCGGGGACACTTTCTAATCTTGACGGGAGGGAAAAATATGGAACAGCAACAGTGGCTCATAAATTGTGGTCAGAAGGTCTTATGGCTACTTTTAACCGTTTCCTCCATGTTCATGTGGAGGAAATGGATGCAGAGAGAGGCAGGGTAACTGCCCAAGGTACCACCTTGAAATCAGGTGTTCTTCCTCGGAACTCTAGCTTTCTCCTGAGTCTCTTGCAACCCTGGGTACCCATACATTCCAAGAAAGAAAGTTGGGAATGGATGAGCCCTATGGTCCTTTTAGTTAGAAGATTCTCTGCAAAAATGTAAGGTGTTGATAAATAGAAATTTCCAGGGACATTCATCCAGAAAATCCAATCTCATCCTGTGATGGATTTGCAGCACATGTGCATTTACTAAGCAAATCTGATTCTATTGCTGACCAGAGAGAAAGAGAAATCATTTAAATAGCTCAATACAATTGCACCCACATTTGGCCCCAAGAGCTTCTGCTGCCTCAGCTGGCCTGGGCTGGGGGAGGAGGAGGTGGGGTAGCTCTCAGTTCCCTGAGGCCACTCCATAAGATGAGTATCTTCTACCCACGTGTGCATCCAAGGTTGCACCAGATTCAGTCCTTTCTACAGTGAAACTCAAATAAAACCTCTTCATCGGGTGCTCAGGGAAGAACCAATAAAGCACGCAGCCCTGAAGGAAAACCTGGCTGTGCTGAGCCTGTGAGAGGGAGTGTAGGATCCAAATGACACCTTCCTCAGAACTTTTCCAGGCTGATTTGGACTCTGCAATGATCTCCTTTCACTCTGGTTTTAGAATGCCACCCTTCTCAGAAAATTCTACTCCCCTGTTACTATTCTTCTCGTCTCCTCTCTGTGCCTCTGGCCACTGGTCTCCCCTGTCCCCTAACTTGCTCTCTGCACGTTGTCTTCAAGAAGGTTGGGGTTTCTTAAACCAAGCCTAGCCTCCCGCTGCAGGTCCTGCTGCAGGTCCAGGCTGCTCTGTGTGCTCTGCCCCCCAGACCTCCTCAAAGGGGAGGGAGTGGCTTCCCCTGGCAAAAAGCTTTTTTGCAACCTTCACACAAAGGCACCCAGTTGTTTCTGAAGGAGCAGGCAGCCTAATTTTCTTTTGAACTTTACCCTCTATATATTTGCCAGGCTCAATAAATGTTGAGTCAAAATGTGGGGAAATGGATGAACGTGAGTGGCATAAAAGAAAGCTGTCCTACTGACTGCTGGATCTGGGAGGGTCTTCAGACAACAGAGACGCTCTGGAGGTGGCAAACTCTTTGTTCATGACCATGTCCCCGGTGTCTAGAACAGAGACTGGACATAGTTAGTGCTCTATCCAGTTACGGAATGAAGGTGCTCAGCTTAACCTTCTTGTTGTGTGGATGGGGAAACTGAGACTTGAGACTCCTATGAAATGACCCCACGGGAAAGGACCTTGTTTTCTCAGTCCTTTTCCAAGCAGCTGAGCACAGGACCTGGCTCCCAGCAGCAACTCAACATGGAATGACAGAACAGGTAAATATCAGGGTGTATGGAGGCAAATGGATGCACAGAGGAGAGCAGTTTCCCTGCCTTAAGCAAAACCTGGGCTGATGAAGGGAGGAGGTTCACCATCAGCAGGCAGAGGGAGGGTTGGAGAGGGGCGCAGGTACCTCCAAGCACAAGTCTGGGCAAAGGGCCTGGGGACAATAACAGGGTCTTTCTTTACCCATAAAATGATGTTCTCCCAGTGCAGTGATTCTCACCCGGGCTGCACGTTAGAACCATCTGGGAAGCTCTTAAAACACCCCAATGCCTGGTCTGCAATCCCTGATCAAATTGTCCTGGGGTGGAGCCTGGGCACGGATCTTCTAAAAAAAAAAGGTTCCGCCCGGGATTCTGCTGTACAGAGCGGGTTGAGAACACCGAGGCAAAAAACAGATAGCAGAGAAGGCAGCTAAGCGTGGAAAGGGTTCTGAGTACAAGTTCTGGGAATCGGGCGAGGAAAGAGTGAGACTCTTCCCTTCCAGCCCTGGTCCTGGGGGCGGTGAGAAGGTCCCCTGGGCGGGAAAGGGCGAGTAGGCTTAGAAAAGGGAGGTGGATGGGAAGAATGGGGTCCCAGGCGTTAGGGCGGGATGAGCAAGAGGGACTTGATTCAAGGGAGCGAGGATTTCAGCGGAGAGCTGACGCAACAAGGAAGGGGCATAGGGTGAGAATCGCAGGGAGCGGGTCTGGGGAAGCAAAGGAGGCAGCGGCGAGAAGGCAGCCAACGGACGCTTGGGTCTCGGGAGCTAAGATCTGGAGGAAGCAGGGGAGTCGGTCACAAGGGATGTCAGGGCGTGGCGCAATGGGGTTCGAAAGAAGAAACTCTGAGACGCACATGGAGGCTGCTCGGTCATACAGAGACACACGGAAGTCCTGATGCACACGCACCCGCGCACAAACGCATCCCCAGTGCACACACTCCCGTGGCACACGCCGAGGCCCCGGCCTTCCGGGCGAGGGAGGGGACAGCAGAGCCGCCCCGCAGCCGACGCCAGGAGGCCCCTCCCGCCGCGCCCCTACTC